TCTCTTTCTGTCTGGGATACATTGCTTTCGGTTCGAGATCATTTACATTCAGCGCCGAGTCCCTTTACCATGATAATGCCAAAGGACACCAGTAGGACTCCGGGCAACCGCACCATTCATTATCGAAACGCTGTGGACGGATCGACAATTTTCCTGTACGCTTGTTCTCTAATTTCTAACGATAATGATCGTTGTCATTACACGTTCGCAAACACATAACGTTGTTATCATTAGAAACCGGAGAATAGGCGTATAGGGAATCAGCTGTGTCGCTTCAACTTTAAATTAAGGCCAACCAAGCAAAATGATTTTACGGAGGGCCGAATAGAAATAAAATTAAATATATATTTTAAAATAGTCAATACTCCCTTTTAGTCGAACGATCTAATCTAATTTAATTGAAAAGTGCCTTGATTGCTTTTTGATCACGTGAACATCGATCGGGGACACCAGTTCCGCCCGAGGAAAACGGGAAATATAAAAGGAGGAAATATAAAATCCGACAGATCTTTCAAATCAGCTCTTCGTAGACGAGAGGATAAACATCTGCAAGACGTGTAAAGTATAACAACAAAACGTACAAAAATGGAGGCGGGAAGGAGGAGGCAGGAAGGTACGATCTCTTATCATTCCAAGACGATGGATAATGTATATCCGAAACGTGGCATATATATATGTATATCAGATGGAACTCCGGTCTTGCCGCTCTCGGGGGTGAGATAGATTTGACCTTATGACTTACGACTCGAAATTGGGGCCAAAGGGTCAAGGCACGCGGCGGAGAGGCGGAGGAAGGGAGGAAAAAAGGGAGGGGTGTCGCGACGCGCCTTGACCCTCCCCCCCGGTCTGATGCCCCGTTTCGGTTGTTCGCTAAAACACACAAGTTCCCTCGGATTTTGCCCTCGGTCCAGGCCCTACTTTGGACCGTAATTGACATCTGGAGGGAATATTAATCGTTTTTTTTTTCTTCTTTATATACCAAAATATTATCTACCATCTGATAAAAGGGTGATTTCTCTGTTGATATGTATTCGCTATGTTGATATGTATAATTATTATATACTTCTAAATCACTTACATTATATTAGTTAAAAGATATGTCTCAATATATCGTTTTCGATTAAAAGATACGCTTAGCAAGTAATATACGTCGTTATACTCATCCGAAAGATATTCTCTCGAGGTAAAACAACAAGTTTTGCTAGATTCGCGCCCGTTCGCAATTCTCGATTGTCGCGAATAGCACAATTTTTTTTATATATATGTGTGCGTATATATATATATATATATATATATATACACACACACACACATA